AAATTATTAAAAACTAATTTTTAAAGGACTTTTGAAGAACGATGAGATGCCTATGACCGATTGATGCTATTTATAATGGTTTATGGGGTTTGTTTACAGTGAATACTTTAATTAGAATTGCTTGTTTGGGCTCTTAATTACTGTAAACCACTGAGAGTCCATTGATTGCAGTGACAAATAAATGAATTAATACAGAACTCACCTGCTGTCCTGTCTCTTTGAAACCTGTGGAGCTATTCATACTTCTAGAAATTAAAGAATTAGAAACTGGGGAATTAGTAGACGTTTTCCCCCCTAGATCTGTAATACATTTCATGTATTCAGATAGCCAAAACATTTTTGGAGACAATAGATGTTTATAGTTGTGTTCTGCCAGAACACAATTCAACCAATTGGATATGTTTTTTATCAAATTAGTTTGCCAAGAAAAAGAACGCATGATACTTAGAATGATTTTAAAACCACTTCTACACATACAGATAATTATTTGGGCTAAGAACAACAAGGAGAATAATGATGATCTGTAGATGGAATTTAACTTCAACCTCAGTTTAATGAAGTACCCAGCCAGATGGCCATTAGGTGAAATTATACTTTATCAGTCTCAAGATTGGTTTACACATGAAATAGCAACTGCACAGTGAAACCATCAGAAGCATATCTGGGATAAAAAGGAGGAACAGTAACTTTTGATATCTTCAATGCATATTTCTTTCCTTCCTGTCTATTGTTTTTTCCAATCCATTTAATGGCAAATTTCTTGAGAGAGTTTTTTTTCTTTTTAAATACAGAGTATCAAATGAGATGTAAAAAGAGAGAGAAAATAGACTTTCTCTGTATACATTGCTAGTTGTGTATTTTTATTCTGTGAAAGACACACAGCTTGTTTTGAAAAGCAGGTTGGCTCGATACTGTAAAAATAAATTAAAGCTCAATTCTCAGGTACACATTGTTACTTGTATGTAGCACATATGTTACCAAGTTTCTGACAGAAGATTTCAAAACAAGAGAAGGAGTTTGGAGCTGACTTAAAATTCCTCTGAACTTCATTTTAGCTCATAAAATAAATGTCCGATTGTGAGATGCATCTGTCTTTCTATTTCCCTCTTAACATTTCCAGAAATAGGAGAAGGGCACATAGAAGAGTTACTCTTTAGACTCTAAGAATCTTTCCCAAATTTATATTGAGCCCAGATGGTGCAGTGGTTAGAATGCAGTATTGCAGGTAAACTCGGCCCATAGTCTGGAGTATGATCCTGATGGACTTAAGGTTGACTCATCCTTCTATCCTTCCAAGGTCAGTAAAATGAGAACCCAGGTTGTTAGGGGCAATATGCTGATGTTGTAAACTACCCAGAGAAGGCAGTAAAGTATTATGAGATGGTATACAAGTCTCGGTGCTATTGCTATACTACTAAAACTCTCCTTCCCATTTGTTTGTGAACATCAGTTGGGCAAAACAGTACATTATAGGGCAACAATTTTTTAATCAACCTCAAATGGACTAACTTAAAGGATGCATTCAAAATTTGGAAGCTATTACTTTTGTGGGTTTAAAATTCAGCAAAATTGTGGCTGCTTCAGCATTGCCACAGTCAACTTGGTCACATGATCACTTTTTCCAATGCTTCCTGCCAGTTTTCCACAAGGAAAATTTATGGGGAACCCGTAAGTAAGTCTTAATTTACTCCCACTTCTAATGCCCTTTGCCAGCGTGGGATCATTCTTTTCTCTGTTCAGGTAAGGAAATATCTCTGAAACAATGACTCAGCAGATGACACGTTGTCTACTGAATTTCTTCGAGAAGTGATACTAGAGACAATACTACGTAATCAATACAAATTAAATCATGCAATGGTCTTAAATAATTATACTGTATAATAAGTAATAAATTAATATCCTGCTAAGAAAATATTATTATTTAAAGAAGAAGAAATCAGCAACAATTTTCAGTTACTAAGGAGGCAAGATATACAGTAAGAGAAGATAGCTCTCTACCCTTATTCGATTGATTATTATGATGAGGATGGTTTGTCCCCAAACCTTCTAACATTGCACCAACTATGTTGCTACTGGTTGCCCTCCTCTTCTCTTTCTTCCAACCTTTTCCACCATTACAGACTTCTTAAGAAAACTAGGTCATTATCTGATATGGGCCTAAGCTGATATTGTAAAGCCTCTGCTTCAATTAAATGCTTCGTATCAGAACCAACATTTTTCAAGTATTTTTTCTTTCAGAGTTTGAAGGTACGCCATCATTAATAGTTTGTGTTTGCAATCTTTCTTCCTGTGGAAATTTGATCTTTGAAGATGATTCTCTACTTCTGTTGTGGCCCCTCCCTCTGAGCCTGTCCCATCGGAGGAAGAAAGCTCCGAGCATGAGGAAGAGGAGTCAGCCAGGCCTCCCTCTCCAGGCCCCTCCCCTCTGGCATTGTCTCAGGTGCCGGCCGAGGGAGAGGAGATCAGTAGGGAGACAGGTGGCTCAGATCAGAGTGACGAAGAAACATCATTCCTGGACGCACGCCTCCGAAGGCGTGATAAACGATTGCAGCAGTTTAGGAGGCATGCTAGGGATTAGAACTGAGTCACTGGACCACACCCCAGAGACTATATAATAGAGGGTGGTGGTCAGGGATCCTTGTGACGAACAAAGCAAACCTTGAATAGTCACTAAAGCCTCGTCCGGAATTGCTGAGAAAGATTTCTTGTTGTCGGACATTTGGACTCTTGAGTATTTAATCTTTCTGTTTTACTGTGAAAATAAAGGCACTTGGCAGACGGTGTGTCTATCGCAGCCAAGTGGGAGATAAGAAACTGGGTGCATTCCAAAGTGTTTCCTTAACCCTCGGCTGGCTGTGTTTGTGTGTGTGTGGGTACGGGGACAGATCATCTTCTTTCTCTTCCTCTTTTGGATGAAGAATACTGGTCAGAAAGTATGGCAGTGGAGTTCTAGTCAAGTAGGCAAATGGCCTACAACAGATCTAACTTTTATCTAATCTTAAGACATACTTCCTCTCAGGAGCTCCCACATTTTCCCCCTCAATCATAAAGAAATCTTTTTTAAGAGACCTAAAATCTGCATGGAGAATTTTTTTTGAAAATTTCCCATTTGTAAAGTTTTATAAGTCAACCTATCTTAATATCAAACTTAATATCTTCAGAATTATTGTTGGCTTTTCCTTCCTGTACCATTTTATATTGGCCAATCTCAAAGCAATGTATCCTGACTGGAATGATATCAGTTCTAAATTATACATCTAAAGTGCACAAAACTGAGGAAAACTAGAGAATCATAATACAGAATTATCAGTTTAAAGATTGGTGTGCTGGTTTTCCCTGCCTTCCTTTCTGTATTTATTGGCTTCAATAAAAGCAGGTCCAGAAAAGGTATAATCAAACTCCCTTACTATATATTACAAATTTATACACATGTCTATACGGGTAATCCCAGACCTACAACAGTTAATTTAGTGACCATTCAAAGTTACAATGGCATTGAAAAAAGTGACTTATGGCCATTTTTCACACTTATGGCCTTTGTAAAGGCCCCATGATCATGTGATCAAAATTCAGATGCTTGGCAACAGGTTCATATTTATGACCGTTGCTGTGTCCCAAGGTCATGTGATCCCCTTCTGAAACTTTCTGACAAGTAAAGTCTGTGGGGAAGCCAGATTCACTTAACAACTATGTTACTGGCTGGACAACTGCAGTGATTCACTTAACAATTTTGGCAAGGAAGGTTGTAAAATGGATCAAAATTCTGTAAAATTCAGAGTAAAACTGTCTCGCTTAGCAAGAGACGTTTTGGGCCCAATTGTGGTTGTACGTCGAGGACTACTTGTAATTATCTTCTTATAACTGGGTGAAGGTTTTCATTCACATCCTATTTAAGGGTTCCCACTGATGATTATGATCCTAAAACAGGTATAAAAACTAGCAATGACCTGCCCTATATGACAATGGTTCCAACTATGCAATTCATTTATTCCTATGGCAGTTGGTCAGCTTAACAGACAAGATCATATTTAAGATCAGAAGCACGAAGGTCAAAATGGGATGGTTTGCATTTAACTATGCTTACCTGTAACAATTACATTTTAATTAACAATGCCCTTATAGGATCTACGCAAATATTTGGGCAAAAGAGTTTTGATGTATTGGTACAAACAGAAAGATATTGTTTAAAATATAATACATTAATAGTTCCATATTGGACTACTCAGGGGTGGGTTCTAAATTTTTTTACTACCGGTTCTGTGGGCGTGGCTTATTTTGTGGCTGTGGCTTGGTGGGGGGGGGTAATGTGACTGGGTGGGCTTGGCCAACTTTTTTTTTTTTACTTTTAAAAGCATTTTTTCGACAACCTTAAGAGACTACAGAAAAAAATGCTTTGAAAAGTCTCTGCCGATCAGGCAACTCAGCTATGATCATCAGAGGCTTTTCAAAGCATTTTTATTTACCACCTCTTCGGCTGAAGAGGTTGTAGAAAAAATGCTTTGAAAAGTCTCTGATGTTCCCAGCTGAGCCGCAGGATCATCAGAGGCTTTTTTTTTTTTTTTTTTTTTTAATAAAAGCATTTTTTCAGCCGAAGAGGTTGTAGAAAAAATGCTTTTAAAAGTAAAAAAAAAAAAAAAAAGCCTCTGATGAGGTGGGCGGGGTAAGCAAGCAGTGACCGGGCCAGGGACTGGTTCGGGGGTGTGGCCAGCCAATGTTATTACTGGTTCTCGGAACTACTACAAATTTTTACTACCGGTTCTTGTGAACCGGTGCAACCGGGAGCAACCCACCACTGGGACTAGTCAATATTTTCCTACTCATTCTCTCTGTGTTCGGGAAAATCGAAACTCAAACCCCACTGAGAGCAATGCTCAAACCAATCTGTATATTTCAGATAATCTCAATAGATAATCAGAAAGGGACATTGGGATTTTAACAGCAACCTCTTTCTAGGAAAACAACCTTCCACCATGATCATGGCACTGTCTTTCATGCGTTACCTTTTCCTTCAATGAAGTTCTGGAGATCTTGGAGAAGATGAAACCAGGGAGAAGTGGGCAGAGGACAAAGAGGGGCTTTGCTTTCAACTCCTCAATCCAGATGAGTTAGCTTGGTAGATCAGGTTACCATTGTTGGCTGAAGGCTCACCGTCTCTGGAAATGAGGATAGAAAATGGAAAATGAACCCTTTATGGACTTCTTTTAAATCAAGACTTTTGGATTAGATGTAAACATAAGTTTACTACATCAGTTAAAACTCTATGAAATTTTATCTTTGGACTCTCACAAAATAAATAGATAATGTATCTATTCTTTAAGCACTGAGATTAAGGGTTTAAACTGTGTTTGGTTTTTTAAAAACAAAAGTGGACAGCATAAAACATGGAATTTTTTTTAGTGATGGTTAGATTTGTACCCAAATGGAAGTGGAATTTTTTTTTTTTGCATGGATACTCTTTAATATTTAGAAAGCGTTTGGAGATATACAGGCAGCCCTTGGCTTATGACCACAGAATTTTCATGGTTAAACAAGGTGGTTAACTGAGTCATGTCCAATTTTTATCACCTTTTTTTTGCTATGATTGTTAAGTGGATCACTGCAGTTGCTAAGTGAATCGTGAATCTGGTTTTGCTTGTCCGAATCTGATTGGGATGGCTGCAAATGGTGATCACATGATCCTAAGATGCTGCAACCACTTGTAAATATATGCCAGCTGCCAAGTGCCCAAATTTTGATCACATGACTATAGGGATGCTGCAGAGGTTGTAAGTATGAGGACCAGTTTTCACTTTTTTCAGTGCCATTCTAGTTTTGAATGAATGGTTATAAGTTGAAGACTACTATAGTATAGTTATAGACTGTGTCCAGCAGTACAGACTGTTGGCATCTTCACCCTGGGCTCATTTCTCCAGTTGCCATGAACAAACAGTATAGATAGTCCTCCACTTACAACAGTTCATTTAGTGACCGTTCAAAGTTACAATGGTGCTAAAAAAAGTGACTTATGACTGTATTTCACACTTACGACCTTTGTAACATTCCCATTATCACAGTGATCAAAATTCAGATGCTTGGCAACTGGTTGTATGACCTTCTGACAATCAAAGTCAATGGAGAAGCCAGATTCGTGTAAGAACCATGTTACTAACTTATCAGCTGTGGTGATTCACTTAACAACTGTGTCAAGGAAAGTCGTAAAATGGGGCAAAACTCACTTAACAACTGTCTCGCTTAACAAACCGAAATTTTGGACTTGTGGCCATAAGTTGGGGACTATCTGTATATTATCTAACTTGAAATGCAGAATCTCAGAGCCTTTTTGCCCTAAAAATACTCTCTGCTTAATTTAATTTTTAATTCAATAGCGCTCCAAACCTATCTACCTAGTTCACATCTGTCTGTTAACATGGACTACTCTGATACACTTTGCAAGGTGAAGAACTTTGTGAGGCTATGGCTTATACAGAATGCAACTCACAAGCAGTTACAGTATGTGTGATCCTCAAAGAGCACAATGTTACACTACTGCTCTACGAGCTGCATTGATTGCCAATAGAGTTACCAATTCAAGGTGTTGGTAGTGACCCTTTGACTTATTGCCTATCCCCAATTACCCAACCAAGATCTGGCAGGGCAGGCACACTCCTGGGCTTGTCTATTAGGAAGAGCCATTTGGCAGGGCCAAAGAAGTGACCATTTATGGTCATGATGTCTGCCCTTTGAAACATTATCCTCCAAGAGGATAGAACGGCCTTTCACAAAGCCATAGGAATATGACTGTCACTGGACTTGGTGGTCCAGATTTGTGGCAGAATTGTGCAATGGCAATGTTGGTTTGTTGATGGTGGTTTCATTTCTACTTTGGATGCTGATTATATATATGTGTAATTGTTATTGCTGCTGTTGCATGTTTTTACAGTGTTTTTAACTGTTGTTAGCCATCTAGAGCAGCACGGTGGTCTAAAGATGAAGACGATAGACTGCCACTTGGAGAGTTCAATCCTAGGCAGTGGCAGATATTGCTCTATCAGGGCTGTGAACTCCACACAGACATCAGGAAGGGCATCCGACAAGTAAACACTCAGCTCCATTCAGTCGCCTCAACTCCACCCCAATAAAAAGGGATTAAAGTAAAGGTAGAGGTTCCCCTCACACATATGTGCTAGTCATTACCGACTCTAGAGGGAGGTGCTCATCTCTGTTTCAAAGCTGAAGAGCCAGCACTGTCCAAAGACGTCTCCGTGGTCATGTGGCTGGCATGACTAAACGCCAAAGGCGTACGGAATGCTGTTACCTTCCCACCAAAGATGGTCCCTATTTTTCTACTTGCATTTTTTTTACGTGCTTTCGAACTGCTAGGTTAGCAGAAGCTGGGACAAGTAACAGGAGCTCACCCTGTTCCATGGCACTAGGGATTACAGGGTCATAAAAAGAAAAAGAAAAACAAAAATTGTTGTTAGCCATCTAGAGTCATGAATTTGAGATGAGTGGCCATACACATTGAATGAAGGAATGAATGAATGGAGTACCAATATTATGGCATTTATTTTGAACACTTAATTTTAAAGATGTGAATATATACTCACTGAGCTATTCAATTGAAGAGTAATTGTATGTAATAAGCATAAAAATGCTAAAAAAACAAGCCAAGAAAAATTAAAGACATGAGGGGAAAAAAAATAAAAAGAAAGAAACCAATATTGTTAATGTCTTTCTGTCTTTATAAATCATGCTTACTGCTTCCAGTACATCTAGGCATGTCTATTCATACCAGGTAAATCATGTGTAATTTGGTCCAAAAATGCATCTAACAGTTTGGTGTCTTCCAAGCCATTCCCACAAACCAATTAACGTTCCTTGACCCATAACCAGTCCCTGTCCCATTTTATTCTCATCCAGCTATAAATCCAAACTGTTCTTTGCTGGGATTAGACTGTGTTTGTAATTGCACAGGAATGTACGCAAACCACAAGATCTATCCGATGCTATCTGAAGTATTTGAACACTCCTCTTTCCCAGTGATTATTAGTCAGATACAGTGATCTGGTTTATTTTATTTGAATTCCATTCAATTATTGAAGAATTGCACTGAAGCTGAAACATCAATACACATTTGAATTATAATGAACAGAATCTCAAAAATTATAGTGATGATCATTTCACAGACCTAAATCCGTTCAAACTATTAGTTTTAGAGAAAAAATGTTTGATCTGTACAAATAATTCCTACAACTCTGTGTTTCCCCCCCATCCCCTGAATATATGCAACAAAACCTCTTTTCTGTTTCTGCGTACTTAGATGCCTGAGCCAAAGACTGCCTTCTGCCTCATTGTATGAAATAATAAAATTATTGGAGTAAGCGAAGACCCAGAAGTACAGAATGCATTAGAGATAGTTCCACGGCAACTGAATATGTCAGAGCAAAATTTTAAGAAAGGAAAAGGATCTAGAAGTGAGCATTTTTCATTGAGATGATCCCCAATGAAGTACTATGATTATGAAATATTTTTCTTTTCTTTTTTTTTGCAGAATACTACCTTGCGCAAAAAAAATTACCTCTGAATCATTATCATTATCTTTCAGTTTAGTTAGTGCTAAATTTGCTAAGTTTTATTTCCCATTATTTCTAACTTCTTTATTTCCAAAAGAATTATAAAAAGGGAACAATTGTTTTAGAAAAAAACCAACAACTATACATATATGCACTAGCAACATTTGTTACAAAGGCTTCCATTGAGGCAACCAGAAGTCATGCTCATGAAGTCTTTGGCATAGATTATTTCATTGGCAGCTGTTAAAGCTGATACTGCCTCTTCTCTTCTTCAATAGTACAGCTGTGGCTAGATTTAGACACCAAAATTCATGTCTTTATTGCCCCTTGACTGACCAGTTATAGGTGAAAGGGCAGCTCTTTACTTCCACTTATCTGATTGTGTTCATTTTTACATTATCTGTAAATATATTATATCCTTTTCTAAACCAAAATGGAGCTCATTCTAATAAAGGAGAATATTTGTAGCTCAGTGTTGAAATGATGAGTCCTTGGTGCTCTCTGAGCTTGCTTGTTTTCTTGCAGAGGTTTCATTACCCTAACTAGGTAACATCATCAGTGTGCACTGATGATGTTACCTACTTTGGTTAATGAAACCTCTGCAAGAAAACAAGCAAGCTCAGAGAGCACCAAGGAGCTTATCCCTTAATCAGTGTTTATAATGAAAACAACAGAAACAACGGTTGTATTCTTGTAGTCATTATATTTCATGTCTACAATATGAAATTGCATATGGTCAGAATTTTAATTTTTTAGCAATCAGGAGGAAGAAAACATGCAAGTGAATGTTTAAACATGGACTGACACAGCTGAACACAAAGGAAGATTCCCACAAGATTACAAAGCTCAAAAGTTTTAACACTTGAATTAATCTCTCATTCAATGTAGAACTCTTAGAAGAGAGGGGGGGGAAAGCTCCCTATTTTTATTTAACATTTGCCCCTCCAACTAATAATTAGTAATCAATCATAATTCAAGATGATGGGAATTCAAGTTAAGCAAAAGCCAGCAGCAGTAATGTGAGCATCATTTTCACATCACCAGTATCATCATCATCATCATCATCATCATCATCATCATCACATCACCTTTTTGCTACAGACATGATCAGTTCAAACTAATTAAGGGGGGGGGAAATTCACCATGCAGTTATGCAATGCAGACTTTCATTGCTGGAACTCCCTGCACATGTGCAATCAATCATGCCAACCTCCAGCTTCACAGTTTACAGTTACTACTATTATGTCTTCAGCATGATAATTTCATACACACAGTACATACATATATTGAGAGAGGGAGAGAGAGAGAGAAACATCTCAATTTGTTTCTGCCATTTTTGTTCTTAGCTGCCAGAAAACAAAACACTGAAAACGAAAGTACATTTTTATTTGAATCCACGATATTTAAAAATGTGGGAAATAGCAATGGCTAAAGTACCAAGAAGCAAACAGCCTTGAAGCATTCTTTAAATAAATAGTGTTTTAATCAAATTTGATCTCCCATTTTGGTTCAGTCAGCAAAATAATACCTAATACATTTCTTCCATCTGTACAAATGCCTTTTGGAAAAGAAGTATTGAATAGGGATGTTTAAAAAGCTAT